GTGCAGGTCAATTCATTGGCCTGTCGGAGCCTATTAAGCTGTTGGTAGACTGGAACACGTCTGTGAGCTAAGAAAATTCCTACAGCTTCTTTGGGGTTTGCTGGAGCCCTCGTGTAAATCTCCATGCGCATTTTCCCATGCCGAGCTCTCCGGATAGCGGAAAGTGGCCCCTGGAGCGGCCCCGGTGGGTTTCATTCTCCATTGGTTGCCAATCTTCGATCCACTTCTAGCTGTATTGCTAAAATTACCTGATCCTTCTACAGTACAAGGACATGGTAGGGTAGCAAAACGACGGTCCTGACTGTTTGCCCCTCCGCCGTCGACCAGCGCGAGGCAGATTGGAAGCTTAGTTAAACGTAGAGCTGTGCCGCGTGTCGGTTAGTCAGAGAACCGCCAGGTAAGTGTGTTGTCGACTCTTTGAAACCTACTTGAGAAATAGCGAATGGAGGCGAGCTCCAGCCGATGTGAGCCCCTCTGTCCTCGTGAGTGGTCCTCTTCTATAGCAAACAGGGCGGCTGTACAATGACACTCTCGTACTGGTGACGTGTTTATACGTTTTAGGCGTTCTAAGTGCGTATGTCTGTTATACAGATATTCATAAGAGTTGCAACTAACCACTTGCTGTGACGATAGAGCCGTTTAAGATCAGTATGCTCTTGCGTGTTTATAGCCACACGAATAGGTGAACAGGGTTTCCCATAGTGTTCATACAGGTATTCTATACATAAGATTCTTTCAGCGGAGGAATTCGCTATGAACATTTTTTTTTTGTGTTTTCAGCTACAATAGCGCTAATGCGCACTCAAAAACTAGGTAGTGCACAGCATTTTCCAGTGCTGAACACCTGTATGCCTCGACCTTTTGCTTGGGGGATCTGCTTTGTGTGTTACTCCGCGGCATCCATCAGTCTTCGCCGGCATCCGTCACTGTGGCGTGCTGCCGCAACCTTGACTACGTTTGAGACAGCTGCTTGGCATAGTCACAGATTTAGCTCAGTTATGATCTGCGCTAAGGGTTTTGATATATATTTCCCGGTACCTACCACCCCCTAATGGGCATTCCCCTATCCGGTACCTGAGGCGCGCCCAATAAGGCATCAGTAATTCCTGCCCTTTGCGCCATTGGGGCATCGCGCCTCATCCGCCGGTCGGGTTCCTCCGAATGCTCTAAATATATGCTTCTACATTGATCGTTTATGAATATAGCTATTAGATTTCTCCTCTCCGCTGGTAGAAAAAAATCATCAGCATCTGTAGCAAGGGCAGAGTGCTTTTAATCATGCATATTTTTGCCGGCTTCTTGTTTTTTATAGGCTAGTATGTGTGCAATACTATTAACTGTGTCTTATTGTATGATAACGTGTGCATATAAATACTTTACGAAGCACCTTCTAAACAAATTGCAAACGTTTTAACTAGCTGTCGAGTATTCCATCATTAATGGTGTTGTCTAATGCCATTTAGTTGCCACGTGAGTGGATGTAACAATACTGATTTGGCATCTTTCTTATAGGCGCACCAAGAAAAACGGTTGATATTGTTGTCCCACGAACTCTTCCCCTACAATATTATGTAATACAACAGCTTTCCAATATTGTTACGTTGACTTACCTCCCGCCGAATTAATGCAAGGACATTCGTATTGGGAGCAACACTAGCTTAAACCTCCAATTAGCACCAATGAGGAAAGACTATGGCCGATTCATGCGTAATCTTAGGCTAATTTGACAATTTAGTCCAGTTAGGCTACCCCAGGGCGCGTCGTACGGGCACCAACACCCACTGGCCCGGTAAGCCAGCAGAAGGAAAAGCTGGGGCGATAACGGCCGAAACACTTAGGCACTAGGGGCGTGTGTGAATTTTTCAGGATTAATTCAGGAAAAGGGATCAATGATAGATAAGCTTGCATTGTTCTGTCTATATAAAATGCATTACCAATAAGTTCCTGAAGAAATGGCACAAGAAGATGCTTTGGGTATTTGATCGTATAGCTAAAAACGCTTAGGGAGAATAGGGTTATCAGAGCGACGCATTTAAAACCGCGTCAATATAAGCGACCACCATTGTACGTTCACGGTACGAAGTTGGGTGGTCTAGGGACAACTCCGAAATCAGCATCTGCTGTGAAACGAATTAAATTTCGCAAGCGCGTAAGATGGTGCGTGGCGTATTCTAAAAAAATTGTCTAAAAAAAAGCTGCACACTACTTTTTACTTTATTACTGTGTGCAGCTATTTTTTATATTTTTTATTTATGTTTTAGTAATTACGTATAACTCATTCATATTGAACTGACGAAAATGCTTTTAGTATGCGGATAGTTTGGTGACAGCAGTCACGATTTACTGGCGTTTTCCCTCCTGTTATTTTTTGTCTACCTAGTCTTACGTGCCTCGTAGACCTTATCATTGGCGTCGCGGCGATTTCGAAACCAGTTATTACTTTTGTTTATATATGTATGAATGTTAACAATATAGAATTTTTCCATTTTAGCCAACAAGTCAGCTAAGTAGTTTGAAATGAAAAGTGTAGCCACTTAAGTTACGACCTTTACGATAAAACCTTAGAGGCTTTTGCCTCACTTTTTATCATGAACAACGGAATGAACTTAATGAAAAAGCCCAACACCCTTCGCACTTTACCCTGGATATGCAACAATCGGTATCCTGTGACAGGAGATAACGACTAAAATTGACTAGTTACTCGATGGTATCAAATCGAACATGCTCAATGCCCAGTGCATAACTTACTAGATAAACTTGCAGAAAATTAGCGAAATAAACAAAAAAAGTTTTTTGCTGCTGTTGCTCTGGTTAGCTAAGTTTTCGTAATTGTAGGTTCGGGAAGTACGCGAATAGGGTTCGCGCTTTACGCCCGTATTGAAATTGCGTGAGAAAATGAAATTATTATTCTAACCTTTCTTATTTATCTGTATTGTTTTGCTTATTCTGCCAAGCTGTGTTGCATCGGACAGAACGGAAAGGCGCTTCTGCTAAAAGCTACAAGTTATCTTCTTTTTACGCAACTTAAAAAAGGGACATCTATGAGACTTACGACAAAATTTCCGAATTCATCCAATAATTAGCTCTCCACGACAAGAGCACGACCAAGACTCATCATAAACATCTATACCAGTCCTATCATGTTTATGCAACCTTGGCCACGATTCTCCACGGAGACTTCTCCTTAAAGGCGATCCTTCATACTTACATTCACGAAGCTTATATGAACCATGATCATATCATGATAACTACTATACTTAAGGTAAATAGCTCACTGTATATTCATATCCTACCTTCTTTAAATTGCCTGTATGACAGACCGTTAATTATCCAAATCGACTCAAATCAGCTACGGGTTTTGCCAAGGCCGACATCAGTATCACTTTCACAACCGCTCCACACGGAACTGATTTTGCAAGCGTAACTCACTTTCTGACCGTAAACTGTGCCGATTCCATTCCACACCCATTTAACATACGGTCGCCGCCCGCCCATAAATGGCGATAGCGGTAGCTCCTTCGCAGCCGTGACCACTGCTGCTGGCATTGAGAATCTTCTAGGTATGCTCTGCCGGCACACGGAAAACGTCCTATTCAGGGTAGGCCCACAAAGTTACACGGGTGCCGCCATAAAGCCATAGACTGTGGACTCCACGCTGAAGCTGTTGACGCTGGTACTTGTATCTGACTATCACTGCGACGGTTGTTGCCATTGCTGCTTTTAGTCGGTCGAACAACACTATCTATTATTAGTATAGTACATTGATTGTACAATGGCTGGAGCAGCCGAAGCCTATATGGATGATGCCACTACGCTGTGTTGTCCTACAGTGAGAATCGTCAAACCCATGTTCCAAGAAAGGTGGCTATGTTGGACCTTTTGCGTCTAGGTCGTTCTTTTCGCCCAAGTCCGTGTCGTGCTCACGGTGTATTTGGGCCACATGTTAATTGATTTTACGTTTCCCGCCAGTGAGAAGTTACACGCATGCATCGATATCAGGCAGAGCATGTAACCCGCGGGTGTACGTAAGAGACCAAACCATACATCTCCGCTGTCACCTTTCTTAAAGTACACTACTATACAATATCTGAAAATGTATACATAAAGATATTCTTTTTATTCTTATACATTAAATGCAGCTCCTTATTAAACCACAATTTAAGTTTGGGTCAATCGTAAACTATAAGTATATATATATATATATATATATATATATATATATATATATATATATACACACATTCAGATAGGAACGAGTTGGTCGTCGTTAGTTTTTACGAAAACGAGCTGCGTTGGCAGTAAGGATTGTTAAGAAAAAGGTTTCTATGAAGCTACACATTAGCAATAAAGGAATGGTCCTTGTTGATCAAAGTGTTGCTCGGCAGGCTTATTGTTGCGATACAGTTACTACTTAACGATTTCTAAATCTGAGATTTAGTGAAATTATGTTGTTCCGCTGCTGTACGAAAGGTTTAAAAAAACAATGAAAATTGAACCACCCCCACACACAACTACGTCAATACAGGAACGGAAACAATGATTATTACGAAAGCACCTAATGTCCTAGAATAGCAGAACTCTTTGGAACAAAATAATGCGTACCCTCATTAACTGAAGACGCAAGAAAGAAAGTGGCAGATAACGTTAGAGATAGGTCGGTGGCGCTTCCATCGCTACTCAACGGATAAACTCAGCACCCTATCCAATCGTCAACTTTATAATTGGTCACAACCGTTAGGTCCCACTGGCCAGCGATCTCAGCATATAAAGTTTTCAACTCAGCAAATGTAGCCAATGAAGGATTAGTCGATTTCGAACAGAAGTTACGTATCGTGGAACTTCTGCAAATATGATTTTTGAGACGGCTGTCTAATTTATTGACTGAACATGATGCTAGCCCCAAACTCAAGCTCTTCACGAGTAGCCATAATTCTGAACATCTTGGTCTAATACGCTCTAAAGTTATAGGAACAGAAAAGTAGAATAAGTGTTCTCAATAGGTGATATAGAGGGCACATTCAAATTGCACTACCCTTTAAATGAATCCAAATTCGATATTAATTCATATAATAACTATCCTTTATATCGCTTAATTTAGTTTTTCCCATTTAAGTTCATCCATGAAAGTCCTACTAACTTCTAGCATTAGAGGTCATTGATCGATTGGTAACGCGACTGATGAAAAACTTATGTCGACTTTAGCTCTTTTGTTCGAACATCGTCCTTGCCGAATCTATATCTATTGTGGCTAGTTTTGTCTCATGTCTGACTGCATTACCCTTCCCGACAGCTGATAGCGAGTGTGACTCTGTTCCCTTTCCACGGAGCGCTTACCATGCACCGCACACAGCGTACGTTTAACCAAGATGGCCGCGCTCACACGGAGCTATTAGAACGTTCTCCGACAGGCCAGCCCATCGTCCAATGAAATGTTGATCATAATAACTGGCCGAAAATAACGCAGCCTAAGTAGTTTTGTTGTATGTGCATAGGCGGTGCAATTTCTCTGGAGACAGCTTACTCAAGAAATACAGTGATGAGTAAGTTGGAGGTGCTTCGGTGTCCAGTACAAACGTACCACTGGGGTAAAACCGGAGAAAGGAGTCTCGTGGGGCGGCTTTCACGGTCTGGAGGTCACACATTGGATGTTGTTGATACAACGCCGTATGCCGAACTTTGGATGGGAACTCATTCCTCAAAACCTTCGTTGCTGCAAGACGGCAAGAAATTGACCGAAGTGGTAAATGGTCAAGGACTTAGCTTTCTGCTCAAAGTGCTATCGGTTGAAACGGCGTTGTCAATACAGGCTCATCCGGACAAAGTATTGGCTCGTGAGTTGCGAGCACGGGATCCTGACCATTATCCTGACAGCAACCATAAACCAGAGGTTGTCATTGCGCTGACCAAATTCGAGGCTTTGTGTTGTTTCCGGCCACTGGATCAAATCAACGCGTTTGTTCTAGGAATCCCAGAGCTGTGCGAAGTTGTGGGCCCAGCACCGATTAGTTGCAAGGAGGATCTTCGTAGGGCATTCATCGCGTTAATGACATCTCCGAGAGAAATCTTTGAGCCCGCGCTTGAAAAGCTGTTGGCCAGACTTGCAGACCCCGATGCTTCTGAAGTAGTGCCTGACCCTCTACGCGACGTATTGTTACGGGTGTCCAAGCAGTACCCAGGCGACATTGGCTTGTTTAACCTTTTCTTTTTTAACTACTTAATTCTTGAGCCTGGAGAGGCGCTTTTTCTCGATGTGAATGAGCCGCATGCGTACCTGAATGGTGACTGCATCGAATGTATGGCGACATCAGATAACGTTGTACGCGCTGGCTTAACTCCGAAATTCAAGGACATCGACACGCTTGTCAGCATGCTTAGTTACGAACCCGCAAAGGATCCCAGGTTACAACCCGAATCGATTGATAACAACGTCGCGCGTTTCAGGCCTCCAGTGGACGACTTTGCCGTGATGCGATTTTCCCTGAAAAGCGACAGTGAGTCGGCAAAGCTTCAGCTAACGAAGCGATCCGGTAGCATTTTGATTATTATTGAAGGCAGCGGTAAGCTTGTATCAAACGGTAGTGAGCTGGAGGTTCACGAAGGCAGCGTCGTGTTCATACCTGCCGGATGTGAGGTGTCTGCTCAGGGAAAGCTTCTTCTGTTCCAGGCATATACTCCCTAATGATCCGTGACAAGAGCGCGTGTAATTTAATAAAGTTGAATTAGGTACTGGAAGATTCATCAATGACAGCTAACCGCTAGAATAAATATAATAGATTTGCTGAAGCGGGCACAGAAATATATACGGCCGTGGAACATATCTCTGTTAAAAAAAGTGCATCTCTGTAGAAATGGCTGAATTCCTGCTCATCTATTACTCTAACTGACGACTGAGATACAGTGGAAGCGAATGAGATCTGTTAGATTTACTACTACCTCTACGAGTATCTGCTAATGTTATGTCTGTTTTAGAGATTTAATATATGTTTCATTGATAATGGCTCTCAAATTTAGCTTAAACATAGCACAATATAGTAACTTACACAGAATTGATTATATATATTTCTTATATATTTATATATATATATATATAGTTATATATATATATATAGTTATATATATATATCGTGATTAATGTAGCTTAATTTTAACGCATTAAATTCACTAGAGAAAACAAGCTTTCTTTCCATAGGTCTACAACTTGGAAGCCGTTTTAGCCGTTTAGCATTTTTAGTCAGTATTAAGAGGAGAACGGATTTCTTGCTGACCAAGTCAGTATTTTACATATATATATATATATACTAGGAAAAAGCTACCTATTCGACTACGGTTGACTAACGAGAGTTCTAGTCTTAATTATGTTTTCCGACCAATTAAAGCTATATCTATATATACATAGGCCGTAGATATGGTTTTGTTTTGCCTTTATACAGTGTTTGCAAGATTAGTTTAATCAGGATTCCATCACAGAGTATTGAAGGATAAGCTTTATCAAGCATTGTAAGTTTTAAGGATAAGTTTTATCAAGAATGTTTCATTTAAGAAAAGAAATTAAGGAATAAATATCACTGGCTCGAGACTTTAGCGTTCTGAGTAATACTGTATCTCCATATTTATATATATACAATATACACTGTATATTGTAAGAATAATAATAAAAAAGAAGAGTGATGTTCTAAAGATTATTGTTGTCTTTGGGCCGTTTACTCAGTGACCTGTTTAACTAATAATAAGTCTTTTTTGCGCCTTCCTATAGGTGCGTTAATACATTTAAGACTACTTGTAGCAAATTCGAATTAAAGTCCAACCTCCATCAAATTGACTAACTTCTAAAGTTCACACTGCTTAAACACGAAATTTAGGTGGGAAATACGTCAGTGTTCTTAAAACGTATCATTGAAAACAGGTTGAGTTCAAAAAGAATACCTCTTCATTTCGAAGATCAATGCTTAGTGGTCAACTGTTTGTAGCTCAGAGGTCACAGCGCTGCGCAAATGGATCAAATATTAGTGAAGACATTGAAAGGTGAAAAGGCGGTGCGAATAACGCAGACATCCTAAGAAAGGGAACTGGAATACCAAAGGCCAACTAGGAAATGAAATGGTGTCCTACGTAATTGAACCAAACGAAGCGAAGAGATATTTCATGAAAAAGGAGTTTGAAATCTAAGGCGTCTATCAGCCCGAGCAAGCATTTCCTCTTTATTTGGTAACGTATTACGTATATTGAAAATGCGAAAACTGAGTGACTAGCTGGACAGTCTGGTCCACACGGGGTCTGTGGAACTTCAACAATCAACCCGACTGAAACCTGTGTTCGTCGTAAACAAGGCATAGGTCAATCTCTGCCTCTACTAGTCGGAGAGGACCAAGCGAAAAAATGATATCGCCCTGGGGAGAAATTGAGTTCGATGACAGTGTTTAGTAGGTTCGGACGTTAAGGTAATGGCTATATTTGCAATGAAGTTCAGGGACGCCTACTGCTACGAGACACTCGTCGAAAATGACATAATTAACGCAGATTGCCACCTCGGGCTCGTTAAAAGATTTATGGACCGTTGGCACGGTAATCGAAACCACCCAGTCTGGTTACTTTATGATATAGTTCGACCCGTCGTTATGCCTCAGTTACTTTATGGATTGAGCAAGAGTATTTAACGTTGGCTTGGACCCGCTTCTTCCGATCTAGGTCCGTGGTACTTCGAGACTTCCCATGCTCTAAAAACGGCAATTGGCAAGCAAGTAGTTCTTATTGTCGACTCATTTCGAGAGGCCGTATATAGGGAAATTACATCTTTACATATGTAAATAGGTATATGGCTGGTCAGTCACTGCCAGAGTTCTGGGTCAGGTGTGTAAAAAATAAAAGGGCCTACCATCGACGCATATTAAAAAATCATTATTACAGCGCGACTTGTCTGCTGGATTTACTTGCAACAGCCTGAAAGTAGTTTCAATGCTAAATCTAGACGATGCCTGCATAGCACTATAGACCAGGTGACAGTCAGATCCGTAGTTGAAGGTCGAAGACTACACCATTACCAAAACAACTGCCTGCCGAATCCCAAGAAATGTGCCATTTATCCTGCCGGTCTTTGCGATCTACCGTCATTTAAAAGAGAGCTCTTTAAAACATGAGTTTTGCAAACTTCAACGTAAAGAAAATATACAAATTAATTTATCATCCAAGCACTTGAAGTCGGTTTTCAGGCCATAAAGTCTCCTAACTAGGTTGAGGTTTAATATAATCCACCCTAGCATAGTGTCTTCGGGTCTTGTGTGTTAAGTATTTACGCGCTGAGAGATATTAATCAAATCGACCAGCTCCCCAGAAAACGCTCGCACATATAGATTTAAGATTGTTCTAGAATTTTTATATGACTGTCTCGTTATCAGTACACAATTTTGAGATCCCATCGATTGCGATGTTGATAATTATGATCGATTAGAGAATTCCTTAGCTTGAAAAATTCCTGGGATTACCGCGCTAAAGTAAGCATGTAAAGGAAGAGAGGGGCTCAAAATTGATTCCTGAGGCCTAGTAAGATACGTTAAATGGACACAGAAAATATGTGTAATAACTTTTTATCCATCTCAAGGAGAAGCTTCATTCGCAACGTCAAAGAATATACGCGGTCATACGATTTGTTGAGATCAAAATAAGTATCTATGTATTGTTGTGAATATAAAATCTTAATTTTTGATTCATAATAACTTCCTCCTTTGATGTTGTCGCTCTTTATAGATTCATGCTTTTCAAGGTCTTCGAACTACGAAACGTATGGACAAAAAGAAGATTCTAAGAATTACATACGAGATTGGCGTCTGCGTTAGCAGACTACAATTTTTAGCTTCCAATGGAGAGAGTTCCTTCTAATCGCAGGTTTAACTGTCGAAAAATATAAAATATCGCAGATTTTCGCGAGGTAAAAAGAACCGAAGCTAAATGTGAGGGGCAACGGTTTCAATAGAACGCCAGATACTGTTTTATGAACTATTGCTGACGGAACGCTGCTGATAGTAAAACTATATTTTGTGAAAGGTTGTTTTAATTTTTTTAACAAAGGCATCATCTTTAGAAAGGCCAGGTAACTTAGAACTCTAATCTGAGCTGTGAGCACTTTCTGTCTTATTATGTCTATACAAACCGTTGTTTCGTGACGATAACATTACCTTAAATCCTTAAAAGGTAAATAGAGATTTTCTAAGATTCGTATCCTGGTTGTGATTGGCCTAAATTTATTGCCTCGCTAATAATTGTGAAATTTCGAATTTGACTATATCAAGACATTGGTAAACCTAATAAAATTAATTATTTCTATTTATTGCTTTACGGGCCAACAGATACTTCGCATAATTTCGAAACTGAGTATACGTTTCTCGTATGTGCATAATCGACAAATGGAAAGGCATACTAAAAGGCGACAATTAGAATTCCTGCTTCCATCATTCACGGTAGACTTTCCACTGATCCAACTGATGCTAGTATAGGCTGGCTGATAATGTACTAAGCAGAAAAATAATATTATAAAGAAACGGGCTGTTTTGTCAAATTTGTAAAAAAAAACAAGTACAAATTTCATGGTGATTACTCTTTTTGGACTTTTAATCACAATTCTTGTACAGGTTATACAAATTACTAGCGTCAAATAGGAGCCAGACTTCATCATTGTTGCAGTATTGATTATGTAGTTTCAACCAAAGAGGCTCAACTTTGTGCCTGACATGCCCACTAAGTATCTATCTAAGACTGGATTACGTTAGCTACGTCGATATCTACTAGCGAGGAAGATATAATTATTGTTGCTTAAGGACAGGGCAGAATCATGTCCGGCCCATCTGTTGGCGTCTAGACTGCGCGGCAAATCTAGGATCTATTTTATATAAAGGACCGATTCGAAGACGCTTTTTTCTCAAGGCAAAACGTACAAGCAATTGCCTATGCCAAACTTGTTCAGGAAACCGCCTATTAATCATACAATAGGCATGTAGTTTTACTTGCCATTGTTTACACACTCGTTTGTTAACGTTAACAGGCCATTTTGATATATTCGTTTTTGCCTCTTTCTTTCCTACATATACACACGTTGTTGCGTTCGTACATTGTAGGCGGCCAACTTTATGAGAAATTCTACGCTTTGCAGGCCTCTATGGGTAGGGTTTAGTACAAGGAAAAATTACAATAAAGCTTAAAAAGGTCCATTATGTATTTGTAGAGTAGAGAGTATTGTTTTGATTATAATTCGTGCTTCGTAATTTACGCGACGGCCGAACTTATAGAAGAACAAGTGTCACTGCGGGGCTATTGAAAAATTGTGCTTGAAAGGTGACTACAGTCTGTTCGCCAGGTTTGCGGATACACCTACACGTCAGAAATTTTACCCACTCACTCGATATGACTATGAGTATAATATCCATGAACTTAAAATCAGTTCTCATAAATTCTATAGGTGTAGCTATGGCCTGCATCCGGACTCACCGGGCGCGTTTTTTCCGGCTGTTGGTTTACTCTTACTATACGCTTGCTTCGACCCATATATAATACATAGCGACGATAATAACAAGACAAGTTATATATGTATTCAGTGACATATTTTCGAATTTTGATCTTTCACCTGCTTGGCTACGCACAGATGCGGAGAACCTTCAACGGTGCCGCAGTTCTAACGGGATCAGATCATATCGTTCATAAGAATAGCCTTTAGCGGCCACTGAACCAGTACTGTCGATTTTTTTTATGTATATATATACCGTGTTCAAAACAGGTTGGTGTATTTAAGTTCACATCAAAAATGGCTCGTTGCGGTGAAAGGTACATGAGGATATTGCTTGGCAAGCCAAAGCGTTCCTTAGCCGCGTACAATGAGTCATCATGTACGCCTGCCATATGGTTAATACATTCTACCTCAATCTAAGTGTCTGTAGCTTTTCACGTGGGATTAAATCACTTCCTTGGTCATTCTTGGCATCTTCCACCGTTGTTGCTAACACTAACAGATACGATTAGTTACCGTAGTCTCTTCCATGCAACGTAATTACTGTTAACTTGCCCCCTGCAGCCATTCAGATAAAAACCAACACGATCCATGATTCAACGTAGATGTCGACAGCGGCGAACAGTTTCTATGTCCCCTAAGGCTCGAAGTTTACGGGGCCGTTCGAAGCGTCTAGGACCATGATAGCGGCAATCCTAGTGAACGAATGAATCTTTCTGCCATTTTGTAGTTGTAGCGACAAATCGCCCAGAAAGACTGTTTGGTCCGGTTGGTATCCAGCTAATCGTAATACAGTTAATTGCTAATCACAGCCCGTTGCTGGGTCGCCACAGTGACCCTACAGATAAAATAGCTGCTGGTAAATCTAGTAGGACCACCATTGCATTTGCGTTTAGGTTTCCAAGTGACCTTTCCGACTGAGTCGACGTCGTGACGATTTTAACGGCGACCAGTGAATTATGGTCGGTTGAGTATGGGCGGTAGAGTTGAGTCTGCCTGTAGCGAGGCTAACGTCACTGCCTCGGCCGCGACTATTCCGACTAGAAACAGGAGGTGGCTTTACTTCCATTGTTATTTATGGAGGAACGAATGATTGGCTACAAGCAAGCAGCTATCTTTTTAGGCAAAGCCTATATGAACAAACAATGAAGCTGGTACGTAATCGACTACCG